TGGCTATGCCGGGCCTATATACAGTTCAATGGGATATTGGTGCCAACTTTTCTAAATAGTTAGAAATGTTGGGTGTGTGTTTTTTCACAGCTTCAGGGTGCTCAACAGCACGCATATAAATAGAGTTTGGACATACAGCTTCATAGAGCTGGCGCCTATGCCACACAATAGGTAGATTATCACAGGAAATTGATTATTATGGAATTTGCTATTATCGCTAAAGTGTGTATTGCCATTTACTTGAACTCTTGTGTCAGTAAGTTTAAACAGGCTTTATGTTTGATTAAATGTAATTATTCAAAACTCAAAGGACTTATAACCTTGAAGGTTTGTGAGAATATGTCTCCTGAACATTGGACTTTTGCCATTACTTCAATAGTCTATAACTTCATTCTTACTATAACCTACTTATATTGGAAAGCTGTTGACATCTAGTGCTCTCAGATCTGTCATTTGAGTTGAGAGTCAACCTTGATGAAAGAGAAACATAAACTGAGGATTATTGTGAAGTTATGGTGTCTGTTAAGTCTGAGACCACTTGGGGGCTGTACAGAACTCCCAGACTGATACTAGTCACAGTAAAATCCAATTCTGGTTGAAACACAACGTGTAAAAATACTGGAGGCACAAATGGTGGACATTGTCCACCAAGTGGAGCACTGTTGTTATCAGTAAGATGGTGGGTGCTGAGTGTGTCATGGGGAAGTGGTTAGCTTCTCCAAGCCAGGAGGTATATTACCGACATCAATGCAATCCACAGTGGAGTTGATGGTCCAATAGAAACCAACAATAGCTGCCAAGCACACCTCATTGCTCTGTACTCAAATTCAGTAGCTCAATGCCATTCAGAACATCAGGGCACCTGAATACTTCTACCATGCAGAGCTAATAACATCAAGAACCTTGCAATCAGGTGACAATCAGGAGATCAGCAATGAAACTGTTTGGTCACACCTTCAGGTTCCAGTGAGTGAGATTAAACAAATTTAAAGGCTAGGTAAAGGAATTTGTGGATCACTTGCTCATTTCAGACAAGTCACTGTTTGGAAAGATTAGATTTAGGGGCAAGCAGTACAATGCCTGACACTAAATTTGTATGGTTGAGTTCTTGACTCAATCAAGTATTTAGATAAGGAGGAAAGAGCTAAGAGTACTTGTCTGGCTGATCATGGCAAGCAAGATGATGATGTGCTGGATTTACAGATGAGAAACAGCTTCAACAACTGACCAGGCCACCAGGCTCCTGATCAATAAACTCGATTACAACTAGCTAGTATGGTCAGGTAATTGAACAATTGCTGACTGAAAAGACAAGATGTATAACCTACATTTAAAATTACTGCTCAGTTAACATAGTTATGATAATCATTAGTTCAAGCAGCTAATAATTGAAAGGAACTAATGTTCTTTGCCTTCGTAGCTATTTAGTAGTAATGTATAGAGTAGATTTTACAACTATTACTTGATTAATACAGCTAGGATGGCTGATGCCAGTAGACATAATGGCTAATGCAATGACAACTTGCACGAATTGAGATGATAGCCAGGTGTTGAAAAACACAATTGAAAGATCTTTGCAACTTTTGCTTTTTGAGCTAATAAGTGATTTTCTCTCTGGCAAAATGTCCAATATTTTTGTGGAAATCACTCATCAAATCTAACAGAGTAGCAAAAACTCTATATAGGATATCACTAGAATTTTTTTTAGATTTTGTTTTATTATTTGATTTGAGGCTGGAAGAATTTCCCCTTGTGCAGTGATGGAGTTGTGTCCTTTTTTTGAATGCATTTTGGTACATAATATAATGACAGCACAAACAATGAATTCTGACTTACAATAATTTTAATTAAAAAGTTTTAGTTCAACTAAGCTTGGTCTGTGATTATTTATTTTGTGAGAGTCTGGAAAGAAAAATGATCGAATTTGACTGCTTGCAGTTGGCAGCATAAAACTCAGTCAAGCTATCAGTTGTAGCTTCAGAGAGTAATCCAAAACAGTTAGGATGTGAGTTGAGGAGGAAGCCAAAGTCTGTCTTTCTAAAACATATTTGTGTATGTTATAACGTGTAATAGAGATAAATGTACATGACAATAAATAAAGGTCTAAATAAATGCATGTAGAAACATTATCAAAGTCATTCTTGAATATTGTATGACATGAATGAATCAATTACATTGGAAACACAACTATTAAGTTACTTGAGAATGGAATTGTAATTTATCCACATGTTATGACTTTGCAGTATAAGGTTAAATGTGATTAGAAGCTTGAGAGGTATTATCTGAAAATACTTGTTATTTTCATTATCACTTGAGATAGAATGTTTCAATTTTGACATTGGAATATCTAGCAAAAAACGAATGGTCATGGTAACATAAAAGTTGTGGTAAGACTTACGATACTTTCGAAATAAAATGCAGTTTAACTTGTGGTTTTTAAGTAGTATTCACTATGTCAAAGAGAAAACACAGTACTTACTGTTTGTTTTTAATACAAGGGGCAGCTATGATGCATAAAAGTGCATGCTGTAAGAAAACTAGGTGTTTTGGTTGTTAGTAATCGAAATATTTCAATGGGTGAAATTATTGGAAGCACATTAAATTCATGAACAGCGGTTTAAACATCATTACATGTATAAACTTTGTGTACTCAGTGTTTTAACTGGTCGTGATGGAATATTTTTAAACCTGAAAAATGAATTGTTTTGAGAAGCATTACTTAATTTAAAATCATAAATCATAAAATCATTACTTTTTTTTCTCAATACAAAGGGCAGCAATGATGCATAAAAAATGCATGCTGTAAGAAAACTAGGTGAAGGCAAAAAGTAGCGTTCCTGAGGTGATACTTTTAAAAATTGCACCTTTGCTAATACTAAACCTAACTGAGAGAATGTCTCCAAGGGAAGCGTTTTACTTGATCCAGTTCAGTGTACATGTGTAGATCCAATTTTCAGAGAGCATGCTGCCCTTTGTTATGGTATTATTAATAGTGGTAGCATGGTTAAATGAGTATTGGTCAAGTGGTGACTCATGGATTACGTGTGGGTCGGACGATTCACAGGCATGGGAGGGGTACACGTTCTACAGGTGTATTTTGCAAGATGACGCACATGTTGACTTGACCCTTTTGCTACACTAATATGCGACGTTGCTGCATCATACCTAAGGTCAGAGTAGATACCATCTAACGTCGAGAGTATTAAAGACACAAAGGCAACTAAAATAAAACTATTTCAACGGTTCTCTGGATCACGTGTTTATGGCAAAACAACATAGAAACAGATGCAAACGAAATTTTTTTTATAAATTTCTATATTCATAAAGATGGCGGAAAACATATGAAATACCTGCATATTACAACAGTATAAAATCCACTGTTTATATAGTGTTGTAGCACGAACAAGATCATAAACGTTCATTTTTGGATACGCTGATCCATAATAGTGATGGTAACTTCAAATTCGAAGTATATCATAAAAAAATTTCTAGCTTGTACTTTAAATTCGTAAGCTTCATATAAACTTTCTTTAAATAAAATTTGGCGAAGATCTTATTTCATCGTGCCAACAAAATTTCAAGTACTTACGAATTTTTGAATAAATAATTTAATAATATCAAATAATTTATATGCAAAATTGCTTTTTATGTCCATTCCATTGAGCTAATATTTCGTAACTATTTGAAGAAGCAAAATTTTAGTAAACCATTTATATATGGAGCTCCTAGATATCCCTTATTTATATAGCCCCCAGTAGCACACTGCTAGAAACCGGGTTTCGATACCCGTGGTGGGCAGAGCACAGATAGCCATTTGTGTAGCTTCGTGCTTATTAACAAACAAACAACCCCTATTTATAACTTTGCCATATATTGGTAAATGTTCTCCGAATTAAAAAAAAAATCAGTTACGAACTACACTTCATAGAGTATATCCTCAAATGCAGTTCAGACATATCTTTAAACCTATCTGGCACTTACAGAATTTTAGATTAAGGATCGTATTCCTTCACTGAAATCGTCAAATGATGTTCATTATCCTTGCTGCCAACACAAAAGTCTGAATGGATCAGCATATCTTGGCACTACAACAGAGTCTACATTCATCTACACCTACTATGTTAGATTCACTTACATCTCATAGAGCATAATTTACTGTAAGTACCAATGGGTCCAGTTGATCATTGTTTGTATCTCGGGGAGACAACCAGGAAAGTGAGAGTTTATTGAGCACCAGCGACTTGTTTGTAAAAGAAATAGTAATTGTTGAGTTGAAGGCACGAGTAAATAAGTAGTAATTACCCTATCCCAAGACACGTGAGTTGAAGATATAACTATCAACATTTAGTTGTTTAACATATTCTTAAATATATTCGTTTGTATTCTTCGTTGCTGTTTTGGTTTATATTTCTATTAGTATTTTATATTTAATACCAATTTGCATTGAAATCATTCTTTGATTTTGTCATTATGTTACTTTTTTTGTCGTTAACGAAGTTAATGGTAAAAAATGTAATCAGGAAAATGAAAAATTTTGTTTTTTATCAAGATCTGTTCAAACTTAAACTACAATATCTTATAATTTCATTTGCTATTTGTACGTATAAATTTGTAAACTTCACCCTCGGTCAGAGTTTTTCGAAAGTTAATTGTCTTTAGAGAAAAGTACTGCTTTTATTCCTCATATTGAGCATCTTTCCCGAAACCTTGCTTTCAAAATACATATATATATATGTATATATCTGTGGACTTTTGTTTAGGTTTCGTAGGAAGCGTTCTTTGTCAATCAAAACACGAATGTTTTGTCTGATTATTTTCTCTGTTTTGTGGGTTAGTTATATTAATGAAAGATGCCAACTCGGCAAACCTCAGTTGATTTACTGAGTCTTGAATAATTGCTTAAAATGCTTCAAGATCTTGTTAATATTTTTATTTCACAAGGAAATGTTATGCACTAAAGATTAGTATATAGAATAAGTTGACATAGAATAGTAAGTTACAAAGACATTATATTTTTTGCTTTGCCAAACATCATATATTTAATATACTTCAACACAGCTCTGTACAACAATAAATTTCGTTTATAACAATAGATTCATTTCCTCGAGGGATTAGGAAAAAAAACACCAAATTGAATTCACAGTTAGTATTATTGAACTGTTTTTCGACATTGTTAGCATAGGTTTAGAGATAACGACATTTGATAATGTATACAACAATCTTTTTGAAATTTAATATCAGACTTTTAACTTGTGATCGCAAAATATTAGCAACCAGTTTTAATTTGAACAATAGCAAGAATACAGATTTTATATCACTGAATATATACGTTGTTACAAAGCACAAATACGTAGAGAGATAAACAGATGGCGAGGTACAGATAGATACGCATATACTTGTAAATAGATACACAAATAGATTGATAGTCAGACAGCAAGGCCGGTTTTACAGGACCGGGTAAAAGCTGAACAAGAATCAATATAAGAGAACGAAAACTGAATAACTTAAATTTCCAGACTTTCTTAAGACGGTGAATTTTGATTGAGAATTTAAACAAATATTAAAAGAAAACAATATTCTAATGTCATGTTAGCGTATAAACTTTAAAGTCTCAATTTCAGTCTCATAGTATGAAAAATATTCAATACATAAATGAAGACGTCTACAATTCTACTCTTTTTCAGTTGAGGAATAGACTTATAATGAATCAGATTTTACCCAATAGTTTTTTGGTTTGATTTTCATGAAATAGTTTCGCTGTAATACCTATCATGCATGAAAAATGTATATATATATATTATTTCTTTTGGGGTAATCTTTGGTTAGCTTAGTTTTTACCAGGTCCTGTCCTGACAATGTCAAAAGATAACAAGTACTCAAAGATTGTTTTTTACCCAGGTTCACAACATCCCTACAAACGTTATCAATATCCAAAATTACAAGATCCCGAGAGTCTTCTGACATATATGGCTACTGTGCTTTAAGCTTATTGACGGCGTTGTTTAGCCGAGTGACATCAGCCTTGAGGGAGGATGCTAGTTCTTCAAACTTGTCAACAGAGTCCAGGATGTGCACTGATTGGCTAAAAGAATTGTACCAGACTTCAAAAGCTCGAGGTAGACGAGCAGCTACATATTGCCTAAAAATATTTAAATTGTTATTAACTAAATATACTCAGACGAAAAAAAGCAGTCACACAACAATACACAGTACTTAGAAATGACGTAACAAATTAGTTACTTAATACTGTTGTAGTGTAGTTTCTCAGGTGTCGTCTTATTTTTATTTTTTTCAAAGAAACTCACTTGTTGTAACTTCTACAAAATTAAAATGGTTAATCACTGTTGACTGAGATACTTTGTTGTAATGTTGCTGTTTACAGAACCCAGCAGTATGTTTTGTGTTTCCACACACATAAAGTATGTTCCAACTTTGCAAGACTTTTCTTGGGTAACTGCACACTGTAACCAATGGAATGGCGATTTTTGCCAAGTAGGTTTTTGTATGTAGTGCAGTTCCAATATGTACGCCGTGTTAACCGTTATATATACATATATACCACTGTTCTAAGCTTGCTAGATGAACACTTAAAGTGATCATGTCTGATCACTTGACCTTACTTTAATATTCAACTTAAATGTGCAGATTCTGTATGAGGTCAACTTTGTCAATCAGGGTTTTTATTTTTTTATGAGAAACTTTCATTTACACTTTTTTTTTCGACAGCGACTCGCTTACGTATGGTCGAAACTTCTTCACTCTTTAAAATTATTTGTTTTTCTCGGTTACGTTACCATTATTTGCGGTCCACTAAAGACCTGGAATTTGGATCTCAGAATCTACGTTTTGCGCCCCTCTTCGCACTTAGGGATCGTATGTACATTATAAGAGTCAGAGTCAATCACACTATTCGATTACACAACAGTAACCCAAGAATTGTCAATGGAAACTGTAGACTAATTGTCTTACATCTAGTCTAGCAGTTCAAAATTAGAGACGACTAACGCAGATAGCCCTTGTGTAGCTTTGCGCGAATATTGGAAACAAGCAAACAAAAACGTGTTTATGTTACTAAATCAACAATAGCACTTAGTTGCTAAATTTGAAACACACTGTTATAAACAATACTTAACAATTATTCATATCACAAAAACAATACATTATTTTTAGCTGTAAGAAAATATAAAGAAATGACTTACCACTGCGTAAATATAAGACTTATTAATCACAAATATGCGTTTTGTTTAAATATATTTCTACATTTTAAAACTGTCTAATGTGAACGTATGCTCATGCATATGTTTGTTACTTGTATATAATATATGACATGACAACTGTTCTACATTAAATAGAGAGACTTAGTGTATCAGAAAGCCAGTGTTTTGCTTTTACACTTAAATACCTAAACTTTTCTTTAGCATCTTCAAAACTTTCGGCCACATAGTAAGTGTCTTGATAATCTTGGTCTTGGTAAGGTTGGATTGCTGTTTCTTCAGGCTGAAACGGCAAAAGCTGTGGTTTTCCTGAGAGAGCGTGCTAATGAGAGGCAATAAATATATTTCAGAACATTTGGTATACAGATACAGTTATATGCTAAGATATACTATTTTAACATGGAACTAAACTCTGTCATGAAGAGTTGGAAATTCATTCAATATTTTACATTTGCAGTCCATTGGAACTCGCAAGGTATCTCCAACTGACGTTTTGAGAACACCGTAAGTGTTCAATGACTTATTGAACAAAATCTGCATTTTCTTGTGAAATAGTTACATATATCTAGCATTTTCTTGTGAAATAGTTACATATATATCTAGCATTTTCTTGTGAAATAGTTACATATATATCTAGCATTTTCTTGTGAAATAGTTACATATATCTAGCATTTTCTTGTGAAATAGTTACATATATCTAACATTTGTGAGAAATAGTTACATATATCTAACATTTGTGAGAAATAGTTACATATATCTAACATTTGTGAGAAATAGTTACATATATCTAACATTTGTGAGAAATAGTTACATATATCTAACATTTGTGAGAAATAGTTACATATATCTAACTATTGGTGAGAAATAGTTGCATATATATCTAACATTTGGATTTCTTTTTGTAATCAATCAAAAATTCCTCAATCGTTGACATTCAGACACAAACTTCTAGATATAGTTTCATTGAAACAAAACTTCTAGATTGACACTTACACTATAATTCTATATTCCCAAACCATAATATTACCCCCGCCACAAGTGGATCATGTAAAAACCAATTAGTCAGGCCCACACCTTAATACTATCCCCACCACAAGTGGATTATTTACAAATCAACTACTGAGACCCAAACCATAATACTACCCCCGCCACAAGTCGATCATGCACAGACCAACTAGTCAGACTCTCACAATAATATTCTCCCAGACCGTCACTCTTCATGGATAGAACAAAAACACACACTCAAACCAAACAATGAACAATAGGATTCTCCATTTCACATGACGATTTTGCATCATTCTTCACCTCAATTTTCATATTTTAAAATTCCTTGAGAGCTGACAAATATTCTTACAAGAGATACAACTGTTTTACAAAGTGCAATTTTAATTGGTAAACATTAATAGTAGCAAAGATTCAGACCACAAGATCCGCCAACAGAAGCAGTTACAACATAGTAAGTGATGAAATGGTTGGTGTATCTCCTTGCTTTCAGTTCATCATAACGACAAAGAATAGTTCTGAATATAAAGATCTGCGCCGTTGCACATATCTCATCGTTCTGCTCTTTATCTTCATTTCTCCATAAGAAGAAGACCTGCTCCGTACATACGCATCTCACCGTTCTGCTTTTTACCTTCAGTTCTCCATAAGAAGAAGACCTGCTCCGTACATACATATCTCACCGTTCTGATCCTTACCTCAGTTCTCCATAAGAAGAAGACCTGCTCCGTACATACGTATCTCACAGTTTGATCCTTACCTTCATTTCTCCATAAGAAGAAGACCTGCTCCGTACATACGTATCTCACACTTTGATCCTTACCTTCAGTTCTCCATAAGAAGAAGACCTGCTCCGTACATACGTATCTCACCGTTCTGATCCTTACCTTCAGTTCTCCATAAGAAGAAGACCTGCTCCGTACATACGTATCTCACCGTTCTGATCCTTACCTTCAGTTCTCCATAAGAAGAAAGAAGACCTGCTCCGTACGCACGTATCTCACCGTTCTGCTTGCACAGTCCGAACTCCACAGTAAACCAGTAAAGCTGTCGACAAACACAAACACACATATTAGTCCTTGCGGTACTTTAATAATTGGTATAATAAGTGAAAACAAATATTTCAAGTTAGAAGACGTTAACACATAGCTTGAAATGCAAGCACGTAGTTGTGAGAGGTCTATGCGTGTAGTGAACAAAGTATCTAGTACGGAATGCAAAACAAAAACGCATTACATTAAGCATGATTTAATAGTTAGGAAAACAAAGAAATGCGTAAATTTTATCCATGAGCAATTATGAAAGAAGGGAAGAAGATACCGTTCGATTTGTTCTTCTTCTTCCCAGAATGTCTGTGACACACCATCCACAGTGCTGTTTATTATAATTAGTATATTCATTTATAAATAAAGGAAAAATATCACCCATTAACTCTGACATGTTTTTGAAGTGCAACAATGACGTAAGCCGAGAGAATATATCATTGTTATATTTTTTTCCCTTAAGATAGATACAGAACATTATAGGAAAATTACTTTCTGTTGCATTACTTATTATCCGTTTTATAAGTTTTTGCAACAATTCATAAAACTGTGCTATTAAATAATTTCTATTTAGAAATTATTCGAGCTTGCCCGATACGTTAACTAAAAGAGAGATTAACTAAATTTAAATTGATTAATTTTATAACAAAATAACTAATAGTGAAAATGTTTAATTACTTTAACCATGAATGTAGGCTTAAAAACTCCACGGTGTGATTAAATTATACGGGACAAAATATATTTAGGATCAACAGATTTTTGATATAATAATTTCAAGCTTCTAACTTATAACTCGAATATTACCAATAAAAGTGAAATTGCTGTGTCCTTAAAACAAAATCATAACACGTGAGTATGGAATTGCTCCAAAGGCTCTTTCATATATCACCGCTACTGGTTTGAAAGTGCCCATATAGTGATACCATGGCTCAGATATGAGTCTTTGGGTGGAGTTCTGGAAAAAGGATATTTTTATTCCTCAATCAAGGCTTTTCACAATTTTCAATGTGTATAAATGAGGTTAACATTCGTCCCCAAACCCTGTGTGAGCTCTATGTAAATAAAGATATGGAACAGGTGCTGCTCAGTCATTGTGACATTAACGTCCTGTTCAATGTAAGCAGTGACGAGTCTTGTACAGTGGGGACGAGTATAATCTTCTGTCAGAATCATAGCACATGAGACAATGATTGAAAAGATCTAGTCGTTTTTCACACAAAGTTTCGAATACAATCCTTGGTGTGTAAATCAAAGCGTCCGATAGAAAATAAATCTGACAAAATTAAAACACACCAGACACTTATTGACAAAATCTCGTCGTTTTTTGCACAGCAATCCAAATACCATCCTTGGTGTGTAGATCAGAGCATCCATCAGAGAAACAATTCTGTCAGAATCAAAACACATATGACAATGATAGGCAGGATCTCGTCGTTTTTCGCACAGCATTCCAAATACCATCCTTGGTGTGTAGATCAAAGTGCCCATCAGAGAGCCAATTCCGAATCTGACACTTTTAGATGACTGTTACAGCCTGGCTCGTCCTCGAGAAGATTTAAATTCCATTACCGCCATTTTAGATGAATCTAACAGTCTTACTTGCTGTATACGTGCTTTTCAATGTCGTGGCAGTAACTTTCATCATACTACAAGGTGATAAGCTTGGACCTATGTTTCACTGTTAGTGTAGAAGTAACTATGAAGTTTCATAACACTGTCAAAGCGATTTAGTTTACCAAGACTTCCACCATAAGCTTGTTTTATGGAGTACGGCCTCCCGTTCTCAGGCGTTCAAAGACACTGTTGGGTGTCTGGTGTCTTGCCCACATCTGGACCTTGCAATGTTCCAGAGCTAATGTCAACATGTATTTTACAATCTCAGTTCTAAAGCATCCCATCAACTCTATTGACCTCGTCTGGTCGTTGGTGACATCGATTAAATATTTCTTTGATATGATATGGATTGAAAAACATAATATTTGACCACAAATTCAAACATTACACTCGGTTTAGAAAATTTTCCAAAAAGTCTACTGGCTCTGACCAATTCGAAATGTACTCACAATCCAATCTTCTAACAGTTAGTTTTCTGATATTCGTCGAGAGTTACTCAAGGGATGTCTGTGCTAGCCGTCCCTAATTTTGAGCTGATAGACTAGAGGAAAGACAATTAGTCAACAGCACCTATCGTCAATTCTTTGGCTACTGTTGTCTAACCAGATAGTGAGATTTGACCTTATAACGCACGCGCAATCACAAAGTGCACAAAGTGATTTACTATTATCATTTTTTGGGCGATAATAGAACTTGAATGTTGGACACGCTGATCTATTGCCCGGCACGCTGACCACTAGGCCACGCTCGCCTCCCCCTCCCCCACTCACTAACAGACACTAAACGTACAAAACACTGTAACTTCGTGTTTTCAGAAAAAAATTTAATTCTAGTTGATATTTTTTCTTATTCTTTAATACCCGAAACGTAATAACTACATTACAACAAAGTTATCTTAACGTATAACACTTATGCAACGAGTAACCGAAATTTAATGATTACACAACAACACGTTTACTTACGTGTATAATATCTGAAGTTTAACGACAACAAAGCTTTCTTACCGTGGCGAACTTCTCTATGTCCGTATCAGAAGCGCCCAAAGAAGCAAGCCCAATCTCTTGGGAAAACTGCGCAAAACTGGGATCAGCAAGCATAGGGATGTGTCCCAGCAACTCGTGGATACAATCACTGTGTTTAGAGAATAAACGGGGCTACTAATGTATCTTATTATCGTATTCGTTAATCACCAGAACTACCTACAAGTTTAATCAGCTCATAGATTTACATCGCTTACTAAAATTGATTGGTTTTATAGCTCAGGAACATTTGAATACAGTCAATATATTAGAGAACAAAAATAACTCATTATATACCACCATAATATTGTGCTGTATGAGAATGAATATATCTTATTTGCTCAAATAAAACAAATAGTAAAAAATATACAATAAACAGTCGATTTGCGTTAATTTTTTCTTGCTTTTGTAGCTTTAGACTTTGTTAAATACTTTTCATGATGTGATAAATATATTCATAGACACGAAAATACCTTCTGATTACATACTGTTATCACACAGAAACTAGAAAAAAGAAATCAAACTTACGGTTCAGGTGAATGGTTGGGAGAAGAACTGTGTCTTACATACTGAGTCGCTTGGAACACTCGGAATGCTAAACTTGCCAAAAAGTCACGTGCAGTCAAAAGACCAGCTGCTGGTCGCACAGTAAAACCCGACCTTCCTGATATTAAAACATATTTTTCAGAATTTTATAGCAATTAAAAATGCGTATCTGCAATTAGACAATAAATATTTCAATGATAGGCTCTTGTTCTTCATTCTTCAGCACTTTAAAAATACATTCTTTCAGAATTAGTAGCAAAATTATTTTTACTGCCAAGGTAAACTTTCAGTTTTTGCTTAGCTTTTCAGGACTTTTAATCATTGCCGATTACATTTATAAAGCTGAAATTGTGTTTTTTGTTGAATTTCGCGAAAAGCTACACAAAGCCTATCTGTGCTGCCCTAATTTTACAGTTATAGATTAGAAGGAAGATAGTTAGTCAACCACAGCAAACTCTTGTCAGACTGAATAGTGAGAATTGGCTGCCACTCTTATAACGCACCCTCGATTCCAAAGTGCAAAGCGCGATTTTTTGTTTATTTTTTTATGGTTACGAGATACGGACCACGAAACCTCAGATCCACAGTCCGACACGCTATCCATTGGACCGCGCTTGGCACAAACTGTACTGAGAAACCTGTCATAATGGAGAACAGTTTCTAAAACTCAATAGCAGAAATGGTATCACTTGACCGAAGCTTTTTCTGTAGGTGAGATTTATCTTGTGAGGAACAATGGTCCAGAATGTTCCTGAATGTAAAGTATTTAACAGGTTTAATTATCTTTCCCAGAAATTAAAAAGTGGTTCATAACACGGAGAACTTGTTCTGAAACAGATTCTCAGAATATGTCCTCTTTTGCTAAAGACATTATTTACAAACGAAAGAAACTTAACCTATCTATATATGTAAATAACTTAAATAACTCAATTCCTTGATATGTTTAGCCTTTATAAGCCAGATAAAAAGGAATCCACCTAGTGGCTCAGCGGTAAGTCTGCTGGCTTACAACACTAAAAATTAGGTTTCGATACCTGTAGTGGGCAGAGCACAGATATCCTATTCTGTAGCTTTGTGCTCAACATCACCCAATAAAGAAAAGGAAATAGAAATGTGAGTTTGAGTAGTACTTGTTACACTGAAAATATTTTACTGTCTTAAATGTAAATAGTAAACTTAAATTATTTGATTATGAAACCAAGTTAGGCGTATATTCATTAAAGATTAAGAAAGAAATTTGTTTTCTAAACAAGTTTTCAGGTGATCAAATTCAACTGGTGGGCTGATCTTATAAAATTATTTACGATTTTTCTAAAATATATAAAAATAATAGTTGTTTTCAGACCCATTGTTTCTATCTTCAACATTATGTAATCATAAATTAGCTGGTTTTCTTGTGTATTATTTAGACCTTTTTATTAGTGTCCAGTAAATATTTTAAAATAGTTTTGAATTTTTTCAAAAGTGCAAATATTTTTAATTTGATCTATTTCTTTGCAATGCTAATTTTGGGATGAAATAATTCGAGTTAATAATGATTTGATAGTCAGCGAAAATTAAGCATTTACATTTTGTGTATAGTGCATCATTCATCATTAGACTGGGATGTAGCTACGTATGAAGACTGGTCCTTTAGTTTTGCTAATTAGTGTTTGCGTTATTATAAACAGAAAGTACTTAGTTGGGATCTTCAGGCTTATAAATCTCAGGTAAGCAGAGAGCAAAAGCATCATGGAATTTGTAATATATCAGAATATCATAGCTAAGAAACAAAAGAATTGTTTAATAGTTCTGAATTTGAGTAGTTACAAATGTGGATATTTTTTATTTCGTTTAGATCGTGAGGACATACTTTTTACCGAGTGATATTTTTAGTAGAGCGATTTTGTACCATGTAATTTGAGAAATAATGTTGGTAGCGTTTTAATACATCGTGATGATTTTCTCTAAAAAGTAAAGAGTAAAAAGTTTTCGTGTATGATTCATCATACTCTCAAAAAGTATTCTACACTCCTCATGATAGAAACTTTGATGTCCCTAAGCTCCATTAACTTCAGCAAGATTTGCTTGTTTGTTTGAAGTTAAGCATAAACAAGTTGCTTGTTTGGAATTAAGCACAAAGCTACGCAATGGGCTATCTGTGCTCTGCCCACCACGGATATCGAAACCCAGTTTCTAGCGTTGTAAGTTCGCAGACATACCGCAGTGCCACTGGGGGGCACTTTATCAAAATGTGATTCTTCTAATAAAAAGCAAGAATTACAAAACAAAACAAAAAAATCTCATACAAATATTTCAACCAGTATTTCCTCCAAGTTATCTTTCGTATTGTGTTTGAAAGTACCGTTCTTTTCTTTTTCTTTTTTATTTCAGATTAAAAACGGAATTCCTGTACTTAGATTTGGTGTGTCCTAGCTCTCAGATGTGATTATATGTTATTTTTCAGAGTATTTATATACAGTTCAATATTTGTTTCCATTTCCTCGACAGCTGTGCCGGTGGTGCACAGCGCAGAAACCATTTTCATATTGTGTTTGTTGACTCGAGCACTTGAAATTTAACAAGAGCCTCGTACGCATAATGTTTGAAAGAGGGTTCTAATTTGTGAGATCAAAAGCCAACACATATTGTACGAAGCACAACCAGCATGTAAAGCACGTGCTACAGGGGTCTTGGGACATGCCTCCCCAGAAAAATTGTATATAGCTTAAACAATTGCATGGCTGTTTACATAAAATCCACAAACATCCAATGAAAAGTCAACAAACTTTTGCATATACGTTTGACTTGTTTTAATATACTATTTTGAAACACGTGGACTATGTTGCTGTTTGTGTATTGCTGAAATTTATCGCCAACAAGTCACAGAGACCTACTGTACAGAATCCAGCCTACAAAACCTGACAGTAGCAATACGGCTTCAGCTTCCAATTACAAAGTGTCTACAGAAGCCATTGCATGCAACTATTTCAAGCCAAAAAATGTTAATACTTCATCAGAATAATGTAGACTATGTAGAAAATGTTAAATACCATAAGCAGCTTGCTATAACTATATAAGCATAATTTTCTACATCACAAAAGCCCCCCAGTGGCACAGCGGTATGTCTGCGGACTTACAACTCTATAAACCGAGTTTCGATACCCGTGGTGGGCAGAGCACAGATGCCCATTGTGTAGCTTTGTTCATAACTTCAAACAAACAAACAAATACATAACAAAAATAGTGGGTTCGTCCGACTTCCCCCCCTCCCCCATGTACGTGCATGAAGAATATATTTTACCTTTTCATCTTGTGAAACCTGATGTTAATGTAAACCAGTAAGTCCTCTTTTTTGTTTCATTATCATTATAATAGTTAAGGTTAACTTAAGACGTACATTCTGTGTTTCATTATTATTATAATAGTTTAGGTTAAGTTAAGATATATATATTTTGTGTTTCATTATCATTATAATAATTTAGATTAACTTATGATATAGACTTTATGGTTCATTATCATGACAATAGTTTAGGTTATCTTAAGATATACATTTTGTGGTTCATTATATTGATAATGGTTTAAGTTATTCTAAGATATAAATTTTTGGTTCATTATCTTGATAATGGTTTAGGTTACTTAAGATATACATTTTGTGGTTCATTATCTTGATAATGGTTTAGGATATTCTAAGATATAGATTTTATGGTTCATTATCTTGATAATGATTTAGGTTACTTAAGATATACATTTTATGGTTCATTATCTTGATAATGGTTTAGGTTATTCTAAGATATAGATTTTGTGGTTCTACTTTAATAGTTTAGGTTATTCTAAGATATAAGTTTTTTATAATATAGCTTCATTTACTAAATATAAATATTTGTAATACAATATGCACAATTCTTGCACGAGTTGCACAGCGAAAAAAAATATAAAAAAAATATATAAATTCAGAAGCAAGTTGAACTCGTGCCTTGTTTAAGAGTGCAATTCTTTGTTCTGGCTGATATCTGACAAGGTATTTATAAAGTAACTTCTCAGAATTATCCTGAATACTTTCTTTAATCCACCAACGTGTTGAACATAGTCGTCTAGGTCTGTCATTGTTGATAGTTCTTGTTTGTTGATAAGCGCAAGGCTACACAATGGGCTATCTATGTTCTGCCTAACACAGGTATCGAAACCTGGTTCTTAGTGTTATAATCCTTCAGACTTACCCTTGAGTCACCAGGATTACCCTTAACAGAGACAATGAGTTTGTTTGTTCGCATTCTTATGTAAGATTCATGGGATAATATCACACAACTAGGAAACCGAAAATGCGTTACTTCTGTTGGTATAAGCCCTAACCAGGGACGTAACCAAGGTGCGTTTTGTTTGTATCAGTCATAACCAGAGGCGTAACCAAGGTGTTTTGTTTGTATTAGTCATAATAAGAGGCGTAATTTAGGTGCAAGCACTGAGGGGAGTCTCTCAATTAAAGTGAGATTTTAGGATTTACAGAAAATAAAAGATAACTACGAATAAAGAATGCTTTAATTATAATTCAATTTCACGGTTTTTCATTAATTTAATTGCTTTTTATCTGTATTCATGTCTTCTTACATCTAAAAAATTCGCAACTGAAAATGAATACAATATGTACCTACTAAGGGATAAAGGAGTAGACAGCCTCTGTCTAGTTTGCTGATGTATACTTTACAAAGAATGCGTGTTGCTTAGTGCAACTGTGAAATAGACAACTAACAAATCAGCGGGTACCAGCACAATGAAATTTTAAATGGCTTTAAATTTAAATTGCTTATCAGGCAGTGGCCATCCACTGGGTTCAAAAGTATATACATCTTAAAGGTAAAGTAACTAATAACTTATTCAGGTATAAACAAATGTTTGGAACGGCTTGCCAAGTGGCCCGACAGGTGAGGAAAATTCAATGTTTCCTATGATGAAATAATTAGATCTTTTACTTGTTGATATCATTGATTTAATAAGATAACTGTCCATGTTACATGTGTATTAGTTGGGTAGATTACCCAAATGATTGTTGTTCTACCCGACGAAAGTATCTCTAGCTACTTAATGGGGGGTACCCCTCCCCCGTACACCCCAGTAGCTATGTGCCCCTGGACATTAACTAGATTAGGAACACGAGTGTAGCGCCAAATATGTATATTCTTTGGTGATGATTCTGATAAAACCACACATGTTTGAAGCATCATCTGTGGTTTTACAACGTCTCGACTATTTTCTTATAATACATTACTTACTTACTCAAATAGGTATTTTACTTTCCCTGATTGAATTTCACCAAGGGCCAGTTATCTCGTTTGTTCACATACCCTATGATTCTGGAATACTGGTTCTTGATCTTTACCTCCTTTGTTGTGTCAACAGTGATCTCTTCTACACATTCGTTTGCATACTGTATGATTATAGAACACTGGTTCTTGATCTTTACCTCCTTTGTTGTGTCAACAGTGATCTCTTCTACACATTCGTTCGCATACTGTATGATTATAGAACACTGGTTCTTGATCGTTACCTCATTTGTTGTGTCAACAATGATCTCTTCTACACATTCGTTTGCATACTGTATGATTATAGAACACTGGTTCTTGATCTTTACCTCCTTTGTTGTGTCAACAGTGATCTCTTCTACACATTCGTTCGCACACTGTATGATTATAGAACACTGGTTCTTGATCGTTACCTCCTTTGTTGTGTCAACAGTGATCTCTCTCTTGTTCACATTCGTTCGACTTAATCTAGTTTACACCATAATAATTGTTCTTCATGAAATTTGATAAAATACATAGTGACTCAACCACTACTGTGTCTTTCGTATCCTAGCCGGCCCGACGAGCCCCGGTATTGGGGAAAAGACCTCATCGGCAGTGGATATAACAGATATAAAGCGGTTGACATATTGTTATATATTCTTCTTTACTTTCACTCGTAAGATCTTAGAATTCTGTAAGATATTAAAAAACAATGATAAAACAATTCACAAAAATATTGCAACATATCTAGAACCCGCACCCTTCCTTTTCTATTGTTAACTTTTGTAACACTAATTTAAAGGGTGCAATAATTTTGAGGTTAAGGGTTACTTCGCAATAACTTTGTCGTTTATTTTATGTTACAATGATTAAAACATACTTTTCAGAAATTTTGAGACGTCTTCCAACTGCGGGATGTTGTTAGGTCCGTAGCCACACTCTTTTTCCAACAAACGGAATACTCTGATGTGCTGTTCACAGGCAAGGGTAGGGTACAAGTGACTGATCTGCTGGTACACGGCTCTCCTGTTGAAAATGGTTCAGACGTAATAATAGAATATTACACTATCTATGGTGTTTTGAGTCCGTTTTACTTCACCATATAGTAAAACTGACTCAAAACCCCATAGATATTATATGCACTTCACCATATAGTAAAATGGACTCAAAACCCCATAGATATTATATGCACTTCACCATATAAGGAGACTTAATGGCATTTCTTTGGTTTACTGACCCAAGCTGTGCTGATGAGCCTTGAATAGGCAAAACTGCAGTCCATAGCAGAGGGTACAGCCAATTAAGGAATGCATTAGGCTTCTACGTCACAGATTATCTTTTCTTTTTTCACCAGAGGTGAAATTGAAAAGAT